TTGCTGCTGTCTCCACCCCAAACTCCATGTGCCACTTTTTCAGGTCTCCTCACACACTGCTGGGTTTCCTTTTTGACATAGGGTGTTTGGCAATTAGGCCTCCAAAAGCTGCTGCCGGGCCCCCTAATCTCCAAGGGCTGCTGCCAGGTCCAGTGTCTCCTCATGGGTCCCTGTACGGCCTCCCATTGCTGCTGTCTCCATCGCCACACTCTGCCATGTGCCACTTTCAGGTCTCTCACACACTGCTGGTGTGATGAATTTTTTTGACATAGGGTGCTGGCAGATTACGGGCCTCCCATAGCTGCTGCCAGGCCCCTAATCTGCCATGGGCCCCTATATACCACCTCCTCATGCTGCTGCCAAGTCCAGAGTCTGTCATGGGTCCCCCCTGTACGGCCTCCCATTGCTGCTGTCTCATCGCCACACTCTGCCATGTGCCACTTTCAGGTCTCCCTCACACTGCTGGTGTGTTGAATTTTTTGACATAGGGTGCTGGCAGATTACGGGCCTCCTATAGCTGCTGCCAGGCCCCTAATCTGCCATGGGCCCCTATATACCGCCTCCTCATGCTGCTGCCAGGTCCAGAGTCTCTCATGGGTCCCTGTACGGCCTCCCATTGCTGCTGTCTCCATCGCCACACTCTGCCATGTGCCACTTTCAGGTCTCACTCACACTGCTGGTGTGTTGAATTTTTTGACATAGGGTGCTGGCAGATTACGGGCCTCCCATAGCTGCTGCCAGGCCCCTAATCTGCCATGGGCCCCTATATACCGCCTCCTCATGCTGCTGCCAAGTCCAGAGTCTGTCATGGGTCCCTGTACGGCCTCCCATTGCTGCTGTCTCCATCGCCACACTCTGCTATGTGCCACTTTCAGGTCTCCTCACACTGCTGGTGTGTTGAATTTTTTGTCATAGGGTGCTGGCAGATTACGGGCCTCCATTGCTGCTGCCAGGCCCTAATCTGCCATGGGCCCCCGTGTACCGCCTCCTCATGCTGCTGCCAGGTCCAGAGTGTGTCATGGGTCCCTGTACGGCCTCCCATTGCTGCTGCTCCATCGCAGCAGTGTCAGTGGAGGCAAACGCCATGTGAGCACAGCTCCACTGCAGCCTACACCACGGCCAGTAGTGGTGCCGGTGTGCACGGAGGAAGTAGCAGTCAGCCAGCGAGAGTAGCGGGGGCAAAGTTTCCTACTCGGCGGTGCCAGGCAATTTTTCGTCAAGCCTGCCCGAGGAAGTAAACGTAGCCGTATGTCGACTCATGTGCTGCCAGAAAGTCAAGCGTGGCCATGGGGCCCATGTACGGGACTACAGCTGCGTCAGCATATGCAGTGTCGCCATTCAGTGGCCTGGGAAAACCATTTCGGGTCTGCCTCCCCAGCCCAGGGTTCCATTTTTGTCATAGGGTGCTGGCAGATTACGGGCATCCCATTGCTGCTGCCAGGCCCCTAATCTGCCATGGGCCCCTGTACCGCCTCCTCATGCTGCTGCCAGGTCCAGAGTCTGTCATGGGTCCCTGTACGGCCTCCCATTGCTGCTGTCTCCATCGCCACACTCTGCCATGTGCCACTTTCAGGTCTCCTCACACACTGCTGGTGTGTTGAATTTTTTGACATAGGGTGCTGGCAGATTACGGGCCTCCCATAGCCAGGCCCCTAATCTGCCATGGGCCCCTATACCGCCTCCTCATGCTGCTGCCAGGTCCAGAGTCTCTCATGGGTCCCTGTACGGCCTCCCATTGCTGCTGTCTCCATCGCCACACTCTGCCATGTGCCACTTTCAGGTCTCCTCACACACTGCTGGTGTGTTGAATTTTTTGACATAGGGTGCTGGCAGATTACGGGCCTCCCATTGCTGCTGCCAGGCCCGTAATCTGCCATGGGCCCCCGTACCGACTCCTCATGCTGTGACGTTGCAACAAGGTGGAATTTAACCCTACATATGTTAGACCGCCTTTACGAACAGCAAAAGGCCATCACAGATTTCCTGATGTTAAAAGCGGATAAAGGTACTCCCTGTGTAACTTAGATGTCAACCATTGGCAGCTCATGCGTGACACCTGCGCTTGCTCAGGCCCTTTGAGGAGGCCACGCTATTCGTGAGTCGGCAGGACTATGGGATGAACGACGTCATTCCTCTGTCTGTTGCACGTCCTGGAACAAATGCTGTTAATAATGGCTGGTCAGGGTGCGGTAGACGTGGCGCACAGATCTCAACGCCACATGACCCATGTGGGGGCAGGACAGGAAGAAGAGGAGGAGGTAGAGGAGGACATTGGTGCTCAGGAATTATTGAGTGAAATGGGTGGTTTTTCCACTCAGCGGACAGTAGTGGAGGAGCAGGAGCATCTGGTAGAGGAGGAGGAAGAGGAGACAGAGGACCCAGACGCACCGTGGCAGTATGCTGTGGAGATGGAGGCAGGGAGTCCCTCACATTCCTTGGCACAAATGGCCCATAGCATGCTCGCTTGCTTGCGTAGCGACAGCCGAATAATAACCATCAGACAGAGGGATGACTTTTGGCTGTCCACCTTGTTGGACCCCTCGCTACCGTTCCAAAATGGTGGCCTTTTTCACACACCTGCTGAGAGGGAGGCCAAAATAACGTACTATAAAAACCACCTATGTAGTCAGCTGGTCTCTGCCTGTCTGCGCCAACGTCCATCCTCAGACACTGTGGGCCCTGTGCGCTCGCGTTACGCTGCCATGGCAGCAGGGGAGGGGTGGGGTGGTAGGAGCAGTGGCAGCTCCACCAGCAGCAGCTGCCTCAGTCTGCAGTCGATGATGAGTAGCTTTCTTCACCAGCGCAGTGAGGAAACTACTAACCAGCCGCAGCAGCAGCAGCATCAGGTGGACCTGGAGCAGGACCTCAAACAACAGGCTTAGGCCTACTTGGACAGCACCCTGCCAACCGAGGTAGACAATCCCCTTGACTACTGGGCAACGAAACTTGACCTTTGGCCCCAACTAGATGAATTTGCCCTTGAAAGGCTGTCATGCCCGGCCAGTAGCGTGGCATTGGAGCGCGTTTTTAGTGCGGCAGGAGGTATTGCAACTCCGCGGAGGACACGACTGTCCACCCAAAGTGTGGAGAAACTCACGTTTGTGAAAATGAATCAGGCGTGGATTAGTCTGGATTTCAAACCACCAGTTCCTGACACAACTGACTAAATCTGCCATGAATCATGCCCCAAACATGTGCCACTTTCAGGTCTCCTCACACTGCTGGTGTGTTCCATTTTTTGTCATAGGGTGCTGGCAGATTACGGGCCTCCCATAGCTGCTGCCAGGCCCCTAATCTGCCATGGGCCCCTATACCGCCTCCTCATGCTGCTGCCAAGTCCAGAGTCTGTCATGGGTCCCTGTACGGCCTCCCATTGCTGCTGTCTCCATCGCCACACTCTGCCATGTGCCACTTTCAGGTCTCCTCACACTGCTGGTGTGTTGAATTTTTTGACATAGGGTGCTGGCAGATTACGGGCCTCCCATAGCTGCTGCCAGGCCCCTAATCTGCCATGGGCCCCTATACCGCCTCCTCATGCTGCTGCCAGGTCCAGAGTCTCTCATGGGTCCCTGTACGGCCTCCCATTGCTGCTGTCTCCATCGCCACACTCTGCCATGTGCCACTTTCAGGTCTCCTCACACTGCTGGTGGGTTCCATTTTGTCATAGGGTGCTGACAGATTACGGGCCTCCCATTGCTGCTGCCAGGCCTGTAATCTGCCATGGGCCTCCGTACCGCCTGGTCACGCTGCTGCTGGGTCCACAGTGTGACATGGGTCCCTGTACCGCCTCCCATTGCTCCCACTCTGCCATGTGCCACTTTGAGGTCTCCTCACACTCCTGCTGGTTTCCATTTTGTCATAGGTTGCTGTATGGCCTCCCATTGCTGCTGCCTCCACCGCCACACTGTGGCTCCAAACACTGGTTTTGGGCCCGTGACTGGCCAAATGAGTGAAGTGTGCGGTGATTCTAAGATCGACGGCACTCATCTGCATGTCATACTGACTGACAGTATTATTTCTCTTCCCCAGCAGACTCCAAGGGCATTTAAATTAAAGGTACAGTGTTCTGCACTAATATTAAGTCTCTCTGAAGCCTAGAAACACCCTTTTTTAAGTTAAATTCACAGCGAATATATTCGACTCGAATCGAATATTGTCCACGAATTCGCCGAATCAGTCGAATCGAATTTTTGAATACTTCGCTCATCTCTAATCAGTATCTTAGTGTTCATGTTCCATAAAATGCTTCGGGACCAGCAAACCTGGTTGTTTAGCACAAATAAAGGAATGATGTTGTGATATACGACCCTTGATCTTTTGTGTTGTCTCACCAAAATAAATCAAATTGTATGAACACAGTAATGCTTAAACAACTTTAGATGTTTGACATGTGTGGAACCCCCGAATCGTATATTTGCAGCCATTTCCAGGATGGACAAAACCTTCCCCCTTCTGCACCAACTTATATTGTATACAGTTGAGACATCGGTATCAGCTGCAAAAATTAATACACCCCAATAAAAGTCTTAGGAGCAAAGCTAAATTGTAGACAATAAAATTCTAATTAACAATAATTCAACTACAGATGAGTCTAATTATTTATTAAACAGGTGTCCAGCAGACAGTTGATTATAAAAGGAGGCTTTACTTAACAAAGAAAACCCCTCCCCATTTCATGCTGTCAGCAATGGCACCACAGGAAGAGAAGTGTCACAAGGCCTGAGAAAGAAAATAATTTCTTTACACAAGAAAGGTGAAGGCTTCAAGAAGATCGGCAAAGCTTCACTTATTAGTCAGAATACTGTAGTAAACGTGATACAAAAATGTAACAAAGATAGAACTACAACCATCTCACAGAGATGTCCAGGCCGTCCACGGAAATTACCACCTCGACAGGAGCATCTTCTAATGAGAAGGGTTGAAGAAAATCACCATGTAAGTTCACTGCAGTTAGTTAAAAAAGTAGAAAGCCAAACTGGGGTGATTGTTTCCCTTGACACAATACAGCACACACTGCAGAGGAATGGCATGCATGGTTGTTGTCCACGAAGGAAGCCTCTCCTAAAGTCCATGCACAAAAAAGTCCACCTAGAATTTGTCAGGGCCCATGCTGAAAAAGAAGACTACTGGGACTCTACTCTAGAGGGATGAGACCAAGATAAATGTTTTTGGAACTGATGGCTTCAAAACTGTATTGTGCCACAAAGGTGAGAAGTACAACAAATGTATGTTGCCTACAGTGAAACATAATGGTGGCAGTGTCCTTCTGTGGGGCTGCATGAGTGCTGCTGGTGTCAGGGAGCTGCATTTCATTGTTGGTATCATGAATTCATAGATGTTCTGCTGTATATTGAAAGAGAAGATGCTACCATCACTCCATGCCCTTGGTCGTCGTGCACTTTTCCAACATGACAATGATCCAAAACACACATCTAAGGACACTGTTGCATTTCTGAAGACAGGGTGAAAGTGATTCAGTGGCCAAATATGTCTCCTGATATGAACCCAATTGACCGCCTATGGGGAATTCTGAAGAGTCAAGTTGAGCATCGCTCTCCATCCAGCATCCAGGCTCTAAAAGAGGTTGTTCTTAAATAATGGAAAAAGATAGATTTTGCAATGTTGCAAATTTGTTCATTCCATGCCTAGAAGACTTGGTGTTGTCCTTACAAATCATGGAGGTCATACAAAATACTAGATGTAGTAGTTTTTGCTGTGGGGTGTATTCATTTTTGCATCAACTAATTCGAGTAAAACAATATTTTGTAATCTAAGTTTATATTATCAACCTTACTTTCATGTAATTAGCTAAACAAATGTTCTATAAACCTGAGTTTTGTCAAGTTTGGAAATTGTTTGTTGTGTTCCTTGAGACATTGATAGAAAGCTTATTTTACAAAAGGGGTGTACTCGTTTATACTGAACACGGTATATATGGGTTTTTTTTTTGCTTTTTTTTTGTGGGAAAAAGGAAATTTTGATAGGGTGCAGCTACATTACAAGAAAGCATCATGGGGTTCTAACAATGAGGACTTCAGGGACACTAATGCATTTGTATTCCATTCAGTATAGGTTTACATTCTTCAAAGAGTAAAGCTAATCTAGAACGTTTGCCAATATTCTTTGTTTGTCTGTGACCCTGCTGCAGAAATTTCCCTTCAATTTTAGTCCCAGTGACTATTGTCTCTGTTGCCATAGCATGAGTTAAAGGTAAACTCCCAAACAAGAATAATACACACAGCAATTAAAATCTAACATATGGTCTATCCTTTGATTACTTTATCCAAGAAAAATAGCTCTGGCTGTATTTTAATGCAAGTTAAATTTAGAAACGAAGAATCTATTCCAAGAAAACATATTTTCACATGGTGTATCAACATTACAGGTAAACGTCAACATTTTCTGTTAAAGTGCACTTGTGTTCAGACTATGAACATTAAAATGTACGTACTTAGCAGTAAAGAAGCTTTAAAACAAGCCGCTGGCCTCTCAAGCTGTATGTACTGTTAAGTAATGAATCTTCAAAATTATCAAAGGTAACAGCACTACTCTAATGTTTCTAACAGCTTTAAAACACCTGATATGTGTTTATGTCTGACTCTTTAAGGCTGCCAACATTATGCTCTCAAAGGAAAGGTGCTGACATTTTAGTGTTTCTATTGTGATCTTTGAAGATTTATTTCTCCCAATGCCTACAGCTACAAAGATGAATGAGGATTTGTATTAAAGTGTGTTTACTGCTTATTCAGAATATGTAAATTATTTAATGTGTATAGTCTTGGCACAGGTTCACTTTGGATTTAAAAAATGTAAACAAAAAAGACCAGTTACATTTACTGTATTTTCTTGGTGGCGTTAAAGTGTTACTAAACCAAGAATCCTGCATTCACTCTATCTGGTCTCCCACAGTACACAATACATGGAAATGCAATTATTTTAGTAAATATAAACTGCTAAATACCTTTTCTCATCAGCAGTTAGAGCAGTCTTGTGTTCAGCAGAGCACTGGTAAAGCTAGTAGGAAGAGTTTTCTTTCTGCTCTAGGAGGATGCAGGACCACTGACCTCTGCCTGGATAGTGTTGATTTGTCCTGTGCTGATCACATGCACTCTCCCCACGAAAAAAAAAAACCTCTCTAGCAATACATACTAAACTGAGCATATGCAGAGTGTCTCCAAACGGTGTGTCTTATCGGGAGGTAAGAGGGGGCACTGGAAGAAGGGGAGGATCAAGTGAGTCCTGATCAAACAGCATTTTTTACATGATGGAGATGATTAACCCCTTAGATTTCATAGTGATAAAGAAGGAAATGGGTATGATACAAGAAGTGCCATCATCCCTAAAGGATACAGTGGAAAGGTCCTCTTGTTGGTGGGACTTTAAAGTCACAAATATATCAAATGGTAAACTAACAATTTAGCAGTTTAAAAAAAATGCAATTTTTATTTTTACAATCTTAAAACAGACACGTGAGTTACAATACAACATATGGTGGTATCGTCAAAAATGATTTTCCAGTGAAGATGTAGAGATAAGGCATGCATGAATTGTACTTGACACATTTCGAGACCAATCACAATCTCTTCTTCAGAAGTGCTCAAAAAGGAATGACGCTTACAACAAACATACATCAACATATATATTTTTATACATGCAAATTTCCATTAATATTGATAATATAATTGGCTTAAAGTATAATTATACACTTGCATAACCCCGTATAGGGGTAAGAAGGATAAGGAGAACTGCCAAAAGACATTAATTTCCATGAGTACAGCCAGAGATTTTTCATGTGCCTCTAACAGCAAAGATGGACAGAAGACAAAGGGAAGGAAAGTGGAAAAGTGGGAGAAGATAATTGCCACCCAAATGCCTCCTAGAGGGGCCCCATCTAACCACACCAGTGGCAGAGTGAGGAACTGTCTGTTCACTAATGCTTGGGCCCCTCCTTTTCTCTCTCTATACCTCCTCCCTGGGCCAACTGATAACCTCCCATGGCTTCCAATACCACCTCTATGCTGATGACACCCAGATCTATCTCACAACTCTCCAGGTCACCCCCTCAATCTCCTCACGTATCACAAATCTAATAAGCGACATATCAGCATGGATAAACAAGAGATCCCTGTTCTCAAATCCCAACAGCTAGTGCATGTATTTATCCATCAGGTGCTAAAGGGGTGTAACCACATATTAACACTAGAAATTCTGAAGGACCCTCTGCACACTAGTATATACCCTTTCAAGCAGACTATGCAATAAATTGGGATATTTAGTTCACACATATTGCAATACATGCTTAAGCTGGCTGGAATATCAGCATGGATGTCACATCACTAGCTCAAACTTAATCTTTCAAAAACTGAGCTTGTAATATTTCCTCCTCCCCGATCCCCCACTCACGACTTTACCATTAAGATCAACAGCACAACCATTGATCCTTCCCCTCATGCCAGGGTGCTAGGCGTAATCCTAGACTCTGACCTCTCCTTTGGACCTCACATCCACTCACTGGTTAAATCCTGCCGCCTCAACCTCCGGAACATTTCCAAAATCTGCCCCTTCCTGACCAATGACACCACAAAACAACTTATCCACGCCTTGGTTATATCCTGCCACGATTACTGCAACACCCTCCTCACTGGTCTACTGTTACACAGTCTATCCCCCCTTCAGTCTATTATGAATGCTGCTGCTAGACTCATACACCTTACCAACCGATCAGCAACTGCTGCCCCTCTCTGCCAATCCTTTCACTGGCTTCCAATAACCCAACGTATAAAATTCAAAATTCTAACCACAGCTTACAAAGCCATCCACAACACTGCCCCTAGCTACATCACTGACCTCATCTACAGATATCGGCCAAATCGCCGACTCCGCTCCTCCCATGATATCCTCCTCTCTAGCTTCCTCATCACCTCCTCCCAAGCTCGCCTCCAGGACTTCTCCAGAGCCTCTCCCATCCTCTGGAACTCCCTACCACTGCATGTCCAGTCAGCCCCCACCCTGTCTGCCTTTAGGCGATCTTTGAAAACGCACTTCTTCAGGAAAGCCTACCCCACCTCCACCTAAGAGTT